CTCCCCCCTCCCCTCTCCTCCGGCGGCAATTTGAAAACTGCACCCGATTTCACCCCCCCCGACTTTGAAAACGAATCCAAGTCTCAGCCCCCCCATCTGTCGGAGAACCATTTCCAGAGCCACAGTTGTTGGAATCTGTCTTCTTTTTTTTTTGTCAGACTCTCAACTTCCAGAGCCCCAAGTACCAGAAACTGTCCTGTGGGACCGAGCCCCACTACCAAGGGGACTTAGTTTATGTTTTGAGTACCCACAGTGTCCAGCCATCCCATCTCGAAATCCCCCGGCTGCACTGTGGCCACGTTGAAACATATACTTGAAAGTGAAAAAAAAAAAAAAAAAACCTTGAAAATTGAAACACAAACTACCACCCCACTAGTGTGGGGCACAGCTCCAGGACATCTGGAATGACACACATAAATCGAGAATTGGTCCAGATTTAAAAAGGAAAAAACGTGTCTTTCAGGACATCCGTTAAAACTGGAATGATACAGAGAAGATTAGCATGGCCCCTGTGCAAAAATGACATGCGTTAATCGAGAAATGGTCCACATTTTTTATAAAAAGAAAAAAAAAGAAGAAAGCGTATGTCTTCTAGTCTCTCTTTCGCCTGCTATGCTTCAGGATTCCGACGAGACAGTACGAGCCAGGTCAGCGTAGCTGTCTAGGAACCATTGATGCATGTCTTCTACCTTCTTCCACCCAATACAACGTACGGTCATTATAGCTATATTTGACGCATCTTCGGTCTAGCTACAGCTATAATGACCCTACCGGCCTGATACCAGGCGAAGAGGTTCTCCCCCTGTTCAGTCAATCCTCTGGAACCCAGAGCAATCAATCCTGACAGACGGTACCCCTGCGCAGTTAATTCTCTGAGTATCTGTCTTGATGTCCGATGGGACGCTGGACCCGATTTCCAGCAGGTGCGGCTCCCCACCAATAGATTGGAGCAACCAGGAAACCTGCTTGGGGGGGATGCTCGTATCGCCTCTCCTAGTAGATTCCTTTTTTTTTTTTTTTTTTTTTTTTTTTTTTTTTTTTTTAAACTGTTGTATTCGGGGGAAGAAGGTAGTCTTGCTGCCTACTGTCGCATGAATTGCCAGTTCCACTTGACTGCTTCATTTAGTCGGTCTAGGGATGGGAGAGAATTGTTAAACCACCAGTACTTGGCCCAGCTATCGGTCGCGGTGCTTCCCCGTTAACGCGCCATGCCTTTAGGGCTTCGGGGTACCGGACCACAATGGCCGGAAGCGCCAGCCGAAAACAAAACGAAACGGTACCCCGGCGATTCGGCAAAAATCGGCGCGCAGGGGCATTCCAGGCTCGACATCGATAGCTGGGCCAAGTACTGGTGGTTTAAATCTGTGGATCTCTAGCCCGACGTGAAGCCTTCAAGGCTCCCACTTGTTCACGCTCACCCATGCCGAAACGGGTAAGCTTCCCAGGGGGTCGTCACCTCCTAGTACTATTCCGACTCAATCAGCCAGTGGTGGTCCTGACAATTGTCTGTGACTTGTTCAAGTCCTCCTCTACGGAAGGGGCTGATAGTCCTGAGTGATTGACATTGAGGTAGAATAGTGGGAATGAGGGTACACTACCGGCTTCACCCGAATAGAACGCCCGGTCATTATCGCTGCATCTGGACTGAAAGTTGGGCCAAATGCAGCTATAATGACCGGGCGTTCTATTCGAGAGAAGACGGTAGGAGAAATGTCTTGAGGTTGGGTAGGGTGGTAGTTCCACAGACAATTGTCAGGACCACCACTGGCTGATTGGGTCGGAATAGTACTAGGAGGCGACCGGCCCCCTTGGCAGCGTACCGGTTTCGGCGTGGCTGAGTGTGAAAAACGTGGGAGCCTTGAAGCCTTCACGTCCGGCTAGGGATAGGTGTCTAGAAATACCACTGCCCGGTCCAACCTCCCCTGGCAGCCGTCCGCTTCAGCGTGACCGGAATAGTGCCAGGAAGGGTGGCCTCCCGGGAAGCTTTCCGGTTCCAGCGCTCCTACGACGGCAACCAACGTGGGTCGGAATCTGGCCTCTACAATAACATGGACTTCAAAGAAAAAAGGGAAAAACAAAAATCTGTAGATTTTTTTTTTTTTTTTT